GAGTCACCACCTTGATCTTTTTTGACACTTTGCCTTCCCTTGCAGACACTGGAGAAATGAGTTCAGACTGTCCTATTTGTCTTAGCTTTTACATTTCGGAAAATTAAAACAAATTAAAACAATAAAGGCTTCTGAAAAAAAATAAAATAAACGCACTCGTCTTCATTGTACCTTCACTTTTCCTGAACTCCTCCACCAAATTCTCTGCTTCCTCTTGGATCTGATACTGCAGAGAGCTCTTCCCCATGCCGAGGACCTTCAGAGTCGCCATTGAAAATCGCCGTTGGTGCTTCCAGGTCCGACCCGTGGCAAGCACAATCCCTGATGACACAGAACCACAGAATGACAGATGATTGGGCTTACTCCAGTCTTTAGAACCGACAGAAAGGGAAAATGCCCTTCTCAGAACATTGTGATAGCAACAGCAAGAGCCAGGGGACTTAGACTTATATACCGCTTCACACTGCTTTGCAGCCCTCTCTCAGCGGTTTACAGAGTCAGCCTCTTGCCCTCCAACAATCTTGGTCCTCATTATACAGACCTCGGAAGGATGGAAGGCTGAGCCAACCTTGAGCTGGTCAGGATCGAACTGCTGGCTGTGGACAGTGAATTAACCTGCAATACTGCATTCTTAACCACTGCGCCATAATGGCAGGAAAGAAAGAAAGAAAGAAAGAAAGAAAGAAAGAAAGAAAGAAAGAAAGAAAGAAAGAAAGAAAGAAAGAAAGAAAGAAGCAGGCAGGCAAGAGGATGGGAGGAAGGAAGGAAATATGCAAGGAAGAAAAGAGGGAGGCAAGGAGGAAGGAAAGGAAGGAAGGAAGGAAGGAAGGAAGGAAGGAAGGAAGGAAGGAAGGAAGGAAGGAAGGAAGGAAGGAAGGAAGGAATGGTACTTAGACTTATATACCGCTTCACACTGCTTTGCAGCCCTCTCTGAGTGGTTTACAGAGTCAGCCTCTTGCCCCCCAACAATCTTGGTCTTTATTTTTCCGACCTTGGAAGGATGGAAGGCTGAGCCAACCTTGAGTCGGTCAGAATCAAACTGCTGGCAGGGGGCAGATTTAGCCTGCAATGCTGCATTCTAAAGATGGTGCCACCATGGCTGATCACATCTGGAACATAAGGCTGCCTCTGAAACTTGAAGTCCAATTCTGCCAGGTGGGCAGCATAGGTTTTGGAGTTAGTAAGAAACACTATCATAAAACAGAAAGACTAAACTAGGCTAACTAAAAAGGAGAGAAAAGAATTAAGGAAAACAAAGCAAGAAGAAAAGCAGAAAAACATTAGAAACCAAGAAGTAAACAACCAAGAAAAATACTGGGGGCGTAGGGGGGGGGAGGGGAAGAAATAAAGTAAAAAAGAAAACCCCAAAACTCAGGCAATGAATTAATTCAAATTTCACAATTGCGTTAACATTCTACTATTGTCGAGTGTTGATTTTTGATTAATACAAATTGTTAGCATTTATTCTCAGAACACATCTCTATTCTGGTCAGTGCTTTTTTTGAAAGAAAAAAAAAGGTGCCGGAACTCACACACGTCATACAACCCGCCTTGCCTATCCTACAAGGTTCCATCCCAAAAAGGTGCCGGAACTCCATTCTGGGCATTCTATGAGAAAAAAAGCCCTGATTCTGGTTACCTTGCATATTGTCCAAAGCGATTTCTGTAATTTTCTTTTTAAAGGCATGATAGCACTAAATTGTCAGTATAATCTCAGGGAAGGATCCTCCAATATAGTTAATCCTTGATTTAAGGCCACAATTGGGAGCAGAATTCCCATTTTCCGGCAGGGTAGTTGTTAAGTGAGACCCATCCAGTTTTATAATCTTTTTAATCTTTTTTACAAGCTGAGCCCGGTTGGTGCAGTCATTAAGAATGCAGCAGTGCAGGCTAATTCTCTGCCCACTGCCAGCAGCTCGATCCTGACCGGCTCAAGCTTGACTCAGCCTTCCATCCTTCCGAGGTCGGTAAAATGAGGAGCTAGATTGTTGAGAGGGGCAAGAGGCTGACTCTGTAAAACCGCTTAGAGCAGCAGTCCCCAATCTTTCCAGCTTGGCAGACTGGCGGGGGGAGGAGGAGAAAAGGGGATGGTTCCGTGTAAGTGGTGGGCATCCTTGTGTGAGGGTCAACCGCTACCCAAAGAACGTGAGGTTCTAAGAAGGCAAATCAGGAGACTCAAGTGGAGACTTCCAAGATAGACAGCGCTTTAATTGACCAAGTGAAGTTGCTGGGTGGAACACTCTGAAACGCTGGCAGCTGCGTTCAGAAGTGCCACACTTGGTCAGTCAAGCATTTCCTTATATAGGCAGCAACAGCCAATCACGGAGTTACACATGTCAGTACAGATAGTATTAACCAATCACATTCCATTCTTTTTCCCCGCTCTTTTCCTTGTCTCTGGGTCTCTGTAAGTGTTCTTCCTGCCTTCATAAAATGGCGTCCCTAATGCAAGGACAGTTTACAGAAGCAAAATGGTGGCAGTTAGGCTAACAACAAGAATAGGTTTTTATCCATTTGGATAAACCCTATACGTGCATTTGCAGCTCCATTTGCCCAAGTGGCAGGACTGTATGCCTGCCCTTTGCCCAAATGGAGCTTTTTGTGCAAGCATGCGCACCCACCGCTCATGCATGTGGAGCTGTGCACACACTTGCCCGCCGCTTCCACAGCCCGGCACTGGACCACGTCGTGAGGGTTGGGGACTCCAGGTTTAGAAAGCTCTGTAAAGCAGTATGAAGCAACACATAAGACTAAGTGCTATTGTTTTTTGGCATGGTCATTAAGTGAATCACTGCAGTTGTTAAGTGAATCACAATTTCTCCCATTGGCTTTACTTGTCAAGCTGGTTGGGAAGATTGCAAATGATAATAATATGAGCCTGGGATACTGCAACCATCATAAACCCATGAAGTAAAGTGTTAGTGCCGTGTTATAATGCCTTGGTAAGACCACACTTGGAATATTACATTCAGTTTTGGTTGCCACGATACAAAAAGTATGTCGAGTTCCTGGAAAGTGTGCAGAGAAGAGCAGCAAACATGATTAGGGGACTGGAGGCTAAAACATATGAAGAACAGTTGCAAGAATTGGGTGTGTCTAGTTTAATGAAAAGAAGGACCAGGGGTGAGATGATAGCAGCGTTCCAATATTTGAGGGGCTGCCACAAAGAAGAGGGGGGCAACCTGTTCAGCAAAGCACTTGAAGGCAGGAGAAGCAATGGATGGAAACAAACCAAAGAGGGATCCAACCTAGAAATAAAGAGAAATTTCCTAACAATGAGAACAATTAATCAGTGGGATGGCTTTGCTTTCAGAGGTTGTGGGTGCTGCATCACTGGAGGTTTTTAAGAAGAGATTGGACAGCCATCTCTCTAAATTGGTATAGGGGGTTGGACGAGAAGAGCTCTAAGATCCCTTCCAACTTGGTTATTCTGTTAAATTATATGGAAAGTAAACTTTCAATCCCACTGAAATTAATTCAGCTTAATGTGTGCCATTGCTCTGTTCCTTTATTGGAGGGGGGGGGGGATATGGCCTTTAATCCTTCTCTTTGTTGCTTTATAGTGTGTTGATACAACATCTTTACTGAATTAAGCATTTTAGATGCCCAAACGGGCCATTTAAAATCTCCAAAACCAAATCGTAACAAACTGAAGCCTAATCCAGCTGAATAAACTGTGTATGAATGCAACTCCGAGACACAACTAGGGTGTGGTGTTTGGGAAACAAATCTAACCAAATTGGAGATTGTTCCTCTTGAGTGGAACAACCTGCCTCCAGAAGTTGTGAATGCTCCAACACTGGAGGCTTTTAAGAAGAGACTGGACAGTCATTTGTCTGACATGGTACTATAGGGTTTCCTACCTGAGCAGGGGGTTGGACTAGATGACCTCCAAGGTCCCTTCCAGTTCTGTTATTCTTCTATTCTTTTATGACCATGGGGATGCTGCAATGTAAGGGTGGGAACCCTTTTGTAACTTCAAGCAGTTGCTAAATGAAGGGTTGTAACTACTCAACAATTATAAGTACACTGAGTGCCTTGTGGTCTATAAGTGTGGGAACCTTTTTTTTTCAGTGCTGTTGTAACTTCAAGCAGTTGATAAATGAATGGTTGCAACTACTCAAAGATTATCTGTACACCGAATGCCTTGTAGACGTGGGAGCCAAACAAATGAACAGGTCAAACATTTTGCTGTTCAGTCATTTTAAGAAAGTTATTTTTTGTTTGTAAAATTGTGTACACTTTTATTAGCTGTGCTTCTTCATCACTTGAACCAAAAACGTAATTTGTACCAGAACAAAAGCTTTTTCTGCATTCGGCAATGCCAAAATCTACTGATCTGTATTTTTAGGAATGATGCATTGTCCAAAACTCAAATATTATCTGAAGTTTGTTGCTTGAGCAGGAAGAATGATTGTCGGTTCTGTCTTTTATAACTTTCTCACCAAAACCACCTTAGTGTCAGCCTCAGATAACATTTTGTACAATTCACAGGGTCCTTCTCACCTTTCAAAAGGATTAGTATACCAAGTGTACAATATAAAGCTGGCAGGTCCTATTTTTAAACAAGATTTCTTCAATAATAGCGAACCTATTCTTGCCTTAATATTTTTGTAGTGCTCTGCAATTATTTCATCTGGCCCTAGAACTTTCCAGATTCCATCATAGCAACGGTGTCATCAATTTCCTTCACATTAAATTTGCAGCTACATCTTCTTCCATAGAAGTTCAAACACCTGGAAGATTTATTTAATTTCCCAAAAATACATATGCTCGGTATGTCAATATTTAAGGATGTAAATTCTTACTAAACTAAAGAAGGGAACGTTAATGTCATTCTGATCTTTGTGAATTATCCCCATGAAATAATTATTCTAATTCAACATCATTTTTTTTAAAAAAAAGAGGCCAATAATTTTCCAGGGGAGGGAAAGAAACAGCAATTTTCTTATGGATAAAATTGAGAGTTTATTGACATTAGAGAGAACTCACTTTTTGCACTGCAACTGTAGAGATAGTCCTCAATTTATGACAATTTGTTTAACAACCATTTGAAATTGCGACAATGCTGAAAAAGGTGACTTATGACTAGTCCTCACACTTATAACAGTCAAAATTCAAGTGTTGGACACCTGGCATGTATTTATGATGATTTGCAGCATCCTGGGGTCACATAATGAACATTTGCGACTTTCCCAGCCAGCTTCTGACAAGCAAAGCCAATAGGGGAAGCTGGATTCATTTAATGACTGTGGCAAAAGGGTAGTAAAATCAGGCATAACTCACTTAACGACCTCCTTGCTTAGCAACAGAGGTTCCAGTCCCAAATGTGGTTGCAAATTGAGGATCAGCTGAACCACAACGGAGGTGACACCAAACAAATGGACATTGTCCTGTCTCCTGTGCCCACATCTGAAAAAAAAAAGTTGATTGTTCTTACCTTTATTATTTGCCACTGCTTTAAATAAGGGGAGCAAAGGCCGGCCAGCCATGTCTTCAGGGTGGGTGGTGAGACCATCCTTCACCGCTCGGAAACCTTGTAATATAATCACAGGATACGGCCCAAACCACAACGTGAAAATATTCCCGTAGATCTTCGACATCTGTTAAAAAAAACCATCTCAGGCAGTCTTTAAGATGCCTGTCTTTAAGATTCTTGGCCTAGACTGGTGACTAGAAAGAGGAAGAGGTGGTGGTTGTGATGATGGTGGTGGTGGTGGAGGAGGAGAACTGTGGGGGTCCTGATCATCCAGTTCTGCACACAGCGAAGCAGTTAAGGGATTCGGGATTCCCTAAATGGGCCAGAAGCCGCCCTAGAGAGGTGGCAATGAAGGAAGGGAGTCCTAGGGACCAAGGAGAGACAGCGGTTGACCTGATCGGTCCAAGAGAAGCCTTCCAGAAACCAACAGGAGAAAGGCTGGCTTAACTTCAGAGCCCAGCCCCAGCTGCGAGCAACGGAAGTCAAAAGCACCAATTTAGCTGATCGTAAACAGTGTGATTGAATCTGGGTAAGAATATTGATTTTCTCTATCCTACCTATGTCAACGCTGCAAATATTGTATATTCTTTTCCTGAAGGGTAGATACTCCCAAGAAGAAGAAAAAAAAAAACACCCTCTGAAAGTGAAGACACCTACTGGTGGATGAGGATTATGACAGTCATGGTAAAATGTGGGTTTGCCTGTGACCTTCAAAGCCTTAACACAGTGGTTCTCAACCTGTGGGTCCGGACCCCATTTGGGGTCGAATGACCATTTCACGGGGGTCGCCAAACAACGCAGTCCGCCATTTTTTTCCCCTTTTCCTTAGCTGTGCTACTCCCTTTTATTCTATTGGCTTTTGAAAGCCAATAGAATAGACTCTCTTGAATAGAGTCTAATTCTATTGGCTTTCAAAAGCCAATAGGAATTGTCCAGGCTGTCTCTGCCCTGCTGAGCCCGCCAAAAGTCCCATTCTGCAAACGGTGCTGCACCAGTTGAGTAGTCCTCGACTTACGACCGGTTGAGTAGTCCTCGACTTACGACCGTTTGGGGGTCGCGGCATTAAAAAGGTTGAGAACCACTGCCTTAACAAATAAAGAACAGCTGTGTAGATAAAATGAGGCTTACCTGAGGGAACAAAAACAGAATAAAAGAAAAGGAAAAAAAAGAACTTTTTTTTTAAAAAAATTCTTTGGACTATAGGTATTTATTCAATTCTGACTCCAGGGCTGTTTCCAAGGCGGGGAAGGAAAAAGTCTGGACTTTTGGTCATCATGGAAAATCAGAGATTTATAGGAAATACTTATCAAGAAAAAATGAATATTCTTCAAGAGATATATGTGGGGTTGCAATTGAGAACAATGATCTCAAATCACAAAGAAATTCAGAATAACTTTGAAAATATAAGTCGACATCTCCAATTTAAGTTTATACCCCAAAAAATCCTCAGGAAAATACAGCAGAGAAGGAACAGACAAAACAGATGACTGAACATAAACTCGAGGATAGAGACTTGAAGACGAAATTCTACAAAACGGAGTATGATCTAATCCAAGTGGGACAAAAAATTTACAAGAAATACTAGATTTTTCAATACTACAAAATAAAGAAATATTAGGAAAAACACCAGCACTGGAGAGACAAAAAGCGATAAGAGGAGTAGAGGGGAAAAGAAGAGAAAAGATTCCCAATAAAAAGGAGTGGGCAAATGCCCTTAACAAAGATACTGACTTGCTTTTTATATCTAAGTAACATTTATGAACATATGGAAAAACCCTTTGATCCAGCAACATACATTGATTAAGAAAGATATCGGGCAAAGAAAACAGATTAAGGTGATAACCAAGAAAATAGATGATGGGATTTATCAGAGAGAATACTTTAAAAACATTTGTTTTAAGAGGGACGAACTCTCTAAACAATTAATATGCTTTTTTTCTTTTGTGTTCTTTTTCTTGCAATGAGTAATATAAAAAAGTTGAAATGATTTAAATAAAGGAAATGTTTTAGATACTGAAATGTGACTGAATCTAAGAAAACTATAAAAAATGTGTTTTGAGTAAGAGTTAAAGGACTAGATGACTAGTATTGAATGGAATGTTTAAAGATTAAAGATTAAATATATTCTTAATTATGGTTAAAAAGAACAAGAAATTAAGGACATAAATACATATTAGCCTAGGAGGGATATATATTTTAAATAGTATGTTATTTCTTACGTTTCTTCACTTTTGTTTTCCTTTTTTTTTCTTTTTTCTTTCTCTTCATTGTTTTATCTGTTTCTTAAGGAATATAAAAGTGTGAGATGGCTTATATGGAAAAAATAGAGTTAAATTTGTAAATGTAAATGTAATTAATTTTTGAGAAAATCTTTACCAGCAAGAATATCTAGAATTTGGTGGGAGAAATAAACTAAAATAAGGAGTTAACAGGATTTATGATAAGGTAACCAGAATGATTGAATAGCACCTGAAGCCAGGACAAGAAGCAACGGACGGAAACTCATCAAGGAGAGAAACAACCTGGAACTAAAGAGGAATTTCCTGATAGTGAGAACAATTAACCAGTGGAACAACCTGCCACCAGAAGCAGTGAATGCTTCTAATTTAGCAGATATGGTAAAGATCTCCACCTGTTTGAAAGACCATTCACAAGAAAGATATATTATGGTTTGGAGAAGATGGATTGATTATATTCAGAAGAAATATGAAGTTGAAAAGTATTATATTGCTTTTGAGTAGATTTTAGATAATTATTAATAGTTTTAATTATATTATTATTTTTGACTTAATTTGTTAATATTTGTATTGAGAAGGAGTTAAAGTATCTTATGGTTTTGATTGATAGTATAGATGGTTTATGTTAGTTGGATTATATTTGTTTATTATTTTGTTTTACCCTGTAATCAGCTCTGAGAAGTGGGGGAGGGGGGGAAGGGGTGGGGGGGTTTATATTGTAATAAATTTATAAAACTTTTATTTAAAAAAAAGAAGAAGAGACGGGACAGCCATTTGTCTGAAATGTTATAGGGCTTCCTGCCTGAGCAGGGGTTGGACTTGATGACCTCCAAGGTCCCTTCCAACTTTATTATTATTATTATTATTATACAAATATGATTATTATTTTTAGGAATATTGGGGAAAAAGTATATGTTCAATTGTTATTTATCAAAACAATAAGAATTGTACTAATCTAATGTTTGCAAAAGAGGTTATTTTGGGGAAAGAGGAAATCAACTAAAATTAATATTTGGAATATGGATTTTAATTATTAATGATTTTTTTTTACAAATGTAACCCAGACAACACATTGTTCACCAATTATTGACTGATTTATATATTATTTAAAAAAAAGGACTGTGGGGTCCTTGGTGCTTTCTGAGCTTGGTGATTTTCTTGGAGGAGAAGGAGGAGGAGGAGGAGGAGGAGGATTGTGGGGTCCTTGGTACTCTCTGAGCTTGGTGGTTTTCCTGCAGACCTTTCATTGCCCAACTATGTAACATCATCAGTGCTGGAAGGAGGAGGAGGAGCAGGAGGAATAGGAGGAGGAGGACTGTGGAGTTTTTGGTGCTCTCTGAGCTTGGTGGTTTTCTTGCAGACCTTTCATTGCCCAACTAGGTAACATCATCAGTGCTGGAAGGAGGAGAAGGAGGAGCAGGAGGAGCAGGAGCAGGAGGAACAGGAGCAGGAGGACTGTGAAGTTCTTGGTGCTCTCTGAGCTTGGTAATTTCCTTGCAGACATTTCATTGCCCAGCTAGGTAATATCATCAGTGCTGGGAGGAGGAGGAGGAGGAGGAGGAGGAGGAGGAGGAGGAGGAGGAGGAGGAGACCCCTGCCTGTCATCAGCCGACCCTCCCCTGTGTCTGTGAGGGCAGGCATCTCTCCATCTGGTCAACCACCTCCCCCAATGCCTGAGGGGCCTGGGACAGCATCGTCCTCAGCCCCGGCCTCTCCAAAGCAGGCCAAGGGAGACCTGCCATCCCCGTCAGATGCTCCCAGTTCCAACAGCTCCTCTTCCTCCGAACTGGGCTCCGATGGGGCCATGACAACTTAACAACCGTTGCAGCATCCCCATGGTGATGGGATCAAAATTCGGGCACTTGGCAACTTGCTCCTATTTACGACGGTTGCAGTGCCCCGGGGTCACGTGTTCCCCTTTTGCGACCTTCTGACAAGCAAAGACAAGAGGAAAACCAGATTCACTTAACAACCGCGTGACTACCTTAACAACTGCGGTGATTCACTTAACAACGATGGAAGTGAGGTTGTAAAATGGGGCAAAAATTCACTTAACAACTGTCTCGCTTAGCAACAGAAATTTTGGGGTCAATTGTGGTGGTGAGTCAAGGATTCCCTGTACTGGGTCCTAGTTTTAGCCAATCCTTGTTGATTTTAAGCTTTAAAAAAAATATATTTTTCATCTTTTTCTATTCTTGCTTCTATCTTGTTGTGAGCCACCCAGAGTCACACTGATAGTGAAAAGGGCAGCATGTACATTTAATGAAGAAATAAGTCAGGCAGATGTTGAAAGATCTTAAAAATACAGAGGGATGGAGAGGCAAGTTGGGGAAAATATTTGTTTTTATTCATTCATTCATTCATTCTCAACCCCATTACTCTTAGAAGACATAGTGAGCACAAAGAGTAGCTCTTATGACAAAGGAAATTGATTTGACCACCCCCCCCCCCTCTTTGGCCACACAAAAGCCACAATGCCACTTAGCAATAAATGATCTGTGCATCTCTCCAAACAATAATTTGCTCTTTGCTCCGAGTCAATCAGTTGATGAAAGGGATGGACAACTCATACCTCAGTCAAGTGTTCCCGGTTTAGTTGAAGAAATTTGGGGTTCCATAAGCATCCGATGAAAGGCAGAGGCATTGGCCCTGGTGGATAGTGCCTTCTTCGAAACTGCAGCCTCACCATTTGGACAACCAGGAGGCAGAGCAAGAAGGCAATGAAGCTTAGCGCCAGCATTTCTGTGCAGCTTCTCAAAGGAGTGTGCTGGGACTTTGCTTGCAGAATCCCTTTTGTTCTTCTGAGTGTGTTCCCATGGGCGGCATCCTACACAGAGGATTTCAATCTGCCCTCCTTCTTTGGCAAGTCTGCTTCCAATTCCACCTCTCTGCTTCAGGGCATTTTCATCTTTGGATCCCATTTAGAAAATTAAGTTATAAGGTTAATGGAAGAAATGATGTGTCTGTCTGAGTGACTTATCTTACACTGGTGTGGCTTGTGTGAAAGATTAAGCTGCTTGGCTGGTCAGGTAATCCTTGACTTTCGACCACAATGGTGCCCAGGTGATGCTGCAATGGTCATACAGGTGAAAAATATTCAGTGCCACTGTAACTTTGAATGGTCACTAAATGAACAACGGTAAGTCAAGGACCACCTGTATCTACTTCCAAAGGGGCATCTTCCATGCCTTCCTTCCTTTGTTTCTAAATATGTCATCCCATCTTTTGATCAGGAAGAAAGCAATAGAACACAGTCAAACTAGAGTCTTGGACTTTAAGAGAGCTAATTTCAATAAACTTAGAGAGGGCTTGGGAAGGATTCCATGGATGAGAATCCTCCAGGGGAAAAAAACTCAAGAAGCTTGGGAAATTTTGAAAAGTGAGATAATAGAAGCCTAGTCTAGCACAATACCAACAAAGAGGAAAAACAACAGCTCTCAAAAGAAACCAGCATGGCTACATAAAGAACTCTCTGATAAATTGAAAGATAAAAAGGACAAGTATAGAAAGTGGAAAGAGGGGCACATAACTAAGTCAGAATATCAACAAATAGCCGAGCCTGCAAAGATGAAGTGAGGAAAGCTAAGGCTCATAATGAACTAAGGCTTGCTACCAAAGTCAAAAATAACAACAACAAAAAAAAAAACACCTAGATGCAAACAAAATCACTACTACAAGCCAGCATGGGTTTGTCAAAAACAGATCATGCCAGACAAATCTTATTGGATTCTTTGACCAAGTGACAAAATTAGTGGATCAGAGGAATGCTGTGGATATAATTTACTTGGACTTCAGTAAGGCATTTGATAAAGTAGATCACAATCTATTACTTGATAAGATAGAAAAATGTGGGGTAGACAGAATCACCACCAGATGGACCGACTATACTCAGCGTGTGGTCCTCAATGGAACCGCATCTACATGGAGGGAAGTGTGTAGTGGGGTGCCCCAGGGCTCTGTTCTGGGCCCAATGCTCTTCAACATCTTCATTAATGATTTGGACGAGGGGATAGATGGGAACTCAATCAAATTTGCAGATGACACCAAACTGGCAGGAATAGCCAACCCTCCAGAAGACAGGCTTAGGATACAGGAGGATCTGGACAGACTTGAACAATGGGCACTATCTAACAAAATGAAATTCAGTGGTGAAAAAAGCAAGGTTCTACATTTAGGCAAGAAAAACCAAATGTACAGGTACAGGGGTACCTTGCTCAATAGTAGTAACTGTGAGAGGGACCTCGGAGTCCTAGTGGACAATCATTTAAATATGAGCCTGCAGTGTGCTGCAGCTGCCAAAAAAGCCAACACAGTGCTGGGCTGCATTAACAGAGGGATAGAATCAAGATCACGTGAAGTAATAATACCACTTTACAAGGCCTTGGTAAGGCCACACTTGGAATACTGCATTAACTTTTGGTCACCATGATGTAAAAAAGATGCTGAGACTCCAGAAAGAGTACAGAGAAGAGCAACAAAGATGATTAGGGGACTGGAGGCTAAAACATATAAGGAACGGTTGCTGGAATTGGGTATGTCTAGTTTAACGAAGAGAAGGACCAGGGGGGACATGATAGCAGTGTTCAAATATCTCAGGGGCTGCCCCAAAGAAGAGGGAGTCAAGCTATTCTCCAAAGCGCCTGAAGGCAGGACAAGAAGCAACGGATGGAAGCTAATCAAGGAGAGAAGCAACCTAGAACTAAGGAGAAACTTCCTGACAATTAGAACAATTAATCAGTGGAACAACCTGCCTCCAAAAGTGGTGAATGCTCCCACAGTGGAAGTTTTTAAGAAGAGCCTGGACAGCCATTTGTCCAAAATGGTGTAGGGTTTCCTGCCTGAGCAGGGGGTTGGACTTGATGACCTCCAAGGTCCCTTCTAACTTTTTTATTATTATTATTATTGATCATCGCACAGTCAGCCAGATATTCAGACTGGATTTGGCATTTTGTCTACCTATCGAGTCCTTACCCAGGACCTGGGATAGGCAGATGTGGATGTTTGATGGTATTACAGATATCGTCGCAGGATGGAAGCAGTTCCTAGTCAAGGCCGCCTTTTGCAATTGACTAATAGCGAATTTGTCAATGCCAGTGGTGTTCAAGTGGTGCTCCAGTTGTTTTGGGATTGCACCCAAGGAGCCTATGACTATTGGCACTACCCTTGCTTGCTTTTGCCACAGTCTTTCTATTTCTATTTGTAGGTCTTTGTATTTTGTTATCTTCTCCAGTTCTTTCTCTTCTATTCTGCTATCTCCAGGCACTGCCACATCCACTATCCAGACTTTTTTGTCATTATTATTATTATTATTATTATTATTATTATTTAATTTTGGAATTAAAAAGAAAAATTGTTGGCATTGAAAATTAAGAGTTAATAAATAAGTTCCGCAAGGAAGGCTGAGCGATGAAGAATTGAGGCTTTTGAACTGTGGTGATAGAGGAGACTCTTCAGAGTCCCTTGGACTCCAATCACTCAATCTTAAAGGAAGTCCGCCTTGACTGTTCTTTGGAAGGACGGATGCTGAACTTGAAGCTCAAATACCTATGGAGATTCTCAAGTCATCCAGGTCATAGTTGTCCCAAAGACACTTTTTCACGAGGCAACAGAACTTTCTTGTTCTCTCCTTGAAGATGTTTCGCTTCTCATCCCAGAAGCTTCTTCAGCTCTGACTGGGGCATGGAAGGATTTATGCTCCTTGCAGACAGCTGCTCATTTGCCTTCTTTCAGAGAGTCGTTGAGGCCACTTGCCTTGTGAAAAAGCATCTTTGAGGCTCAAATACTTTGGCCACTGTTGCGTCCTTCGCGAAATGGCAATGACACGAGAAGCAGTTGCAGTTCTCAGGAACTTCTTTATTTCAGTTCAGCACACTGGTTACAAGACGCCGCCGACGCCCAAAACTCCCGACCTCTTTTATAGGCCATTCCCGGGTCAATCTGCAACTTTTGGCGCACCAGCACTTGCGCATGCGCACAAGCGCTGGCGACAGCCTGTCTGGTCCCGGGCAGCTTGCACCTGCGCGGGACCGTTTGCAATGCCCCGAGCCTGCTTGCACAGGCTCAGGACATAACAGCCATCTAATGAGACGCGACCACTCCTTGAAAAAGACCCTGATTTAAGATTTAAGAAAAAAGGAGAACGAATGATATGTATTGATTAATTTCTCATCTTTAGGATTAATGATACATCTATTTTAACATAGCTGTTTAGCATTGTATTAACTGTTGACATTCAACATGTATACCCGGATGACAGTCTGCTTGCTAAAGTGTTGGTTTATTGTTGGGGGTAGCCTCACTATTGTGGTCTAACCCTTATTTTTACCCTATGTTATACCCCTACCTATTCTATTCCTTCCCCATCCTTAAAAAATCCAATACAATACAATATATTTTTAAAAAAGATTTAAGGGAAAAGGAGAATGGCAGAGGACGAGATGGGTAGATAGTGTCATCGACACAAAGAACGTGGATTTGGGGAAGGTCCAGGAGAAAATGGAGGACAGGAGGGACTGGTGTGCAGTGGCCCACGCGGTCATGAAGAATCAGACACGACTTAGCGACTGAACAACAAACAAACCAGAATAAATAGGTTAAGCATAAAGAATACTAATAAAATCAGCAAAATCTACAATTCCCAGTATTAGTATACTGGTAGTCCTTGACTTACAACAGTTCATTTAGTGGAGGGGTGTCAAACTTAATTTCACTGAGGGCTGCATCAGGATTGCGGTTGCCCTGGGGGGGGGCTGGGTGGGTGTGGCCAGAGTGGGTGCAGCCTACTGGGTGGGCATGGCCAGCTCTACATCGTTCACATCAAGTGTGCCTGTGGGGGCCTGGGCAGGAGTGGGACAGATCTGAGGGTCTCTGGCAGAAGGGGGTGGGACCGGGGCAAGCGCCAAGGCATGGTCCATTTCTTCATTCCTCACAAAGGGTGACACCTCCCCAGCATGCACTCAGGGGGCGGGGCCAATATGGCAGGAGCTGGTTCCTCGCTGGTTCCAGATGGCCTTGTGGAGCTAAGACTGAATGTGTTTCAGCATAGATGGCCACCACAAAATTGTACATTGGCTCCTGGTCGGCCTGGGCCAGGGCCAAGGCAGCGGGCGCCGTTCCCTCACTGTTTCCAGAATGGCTTCGCGGACCACATGAAACCACTTCGTGGGCCGTATCCAGCCCCCAGTCCTTGTGTTTGACATGTCTGATTTAGTGACTATTCAAAATTATAACAGTTCTGAAGAAAATGATTTATGACCGTATTTCACACTTACGACCGTTGCAGCATCTCCATGGTCACGTGATCAAAATTCAGAGGCTTGGCAACTGACTCGTATTTATGACAGTCACACTATCCCGAGGTCATGTGATCCCCTTTGGCGACTTTCTGACAAGCAAAGTCAACGGGGAAACCGGACTCACTTAACAACTGTGTTACTAAGCAATTGCAGTGATTCGCTTAACAGTTGTGGCAAATGGGGCAATATTCACTTAACATATGTCTTGCTTAGCAACAGAAAATTTGGCCTCAACAGTGGTCGTAAGTTGAGGACTGCCTGCATATTGTAGCATATATAATATCGCAAGCATGAAACCGATGGTACGAGGAGGTGAGTTTCTTAAGAAGAGGATTCCACAGTTTGAGGAAAGCCATCCAAAACCCCATCTTCCTTCTCTCTCCATTCCTCTCTTCATTTCATTGTGTCACATTCTGATATTCAATTGGCCAGGAATTAAAAAAAAAAATTGCTGCAGCATAATATGGGAACAAAATGAAAA